TCGTGTTTCTCATTCCCTGATTGCTCCTGTGTGTATATAAGCCCTGTGTTTTCTCTTGCTTGTTACTGGTCCATCTTTGTTCCTCCATGCTCTGTTACGGCCCTGTATCACATCGTGTTATTCCCCTGAGTTTCTCTCTTTATGTCCTCCTGGGGGTTCAGGTTTCAGTTTTGTTTCTTTAGTTTTCCCAGTTTAGAGTCTTTCTTAGTTCTCTTTCTTGCTGCCCTCACTCTTGTTTGTATGTCACTCTCCATAATAAAGCTCATTCAGATCAGCAGTGCCTGCGTATTGGGTCCTTATCTTACCTCCACACAGCCTGCCACTGCAGCCGTGACAGCTTCTGCTTGTACACCTGCTTTTCTTTTTTGACAAAACTAAAAACATACTGAAAGATCAACTTCTTTCAGTTTGGTGACAATTTATGCATTATGAAACATGGTGGATCACCGTGGCACAGGGCAAAAGTAATAATTCGTGACAAGTACATTTTGAAACCATGGCCAGAAAACTTCCCTGATCTTAATCTGAATGGGAATCTATGCTCAGTCCTTTAAATGCAGGTGGGCAAGCAGAAGCCAACAAACTGATCAGCCAAGGCTCTTTTACCATGGGCCCACAATGCTTTGTATTGATGAAATATGCACTTTCCATTTATGGCAGCTCACTCAAACCTGTATGTAATGTTCAACGTTAATGTGAACAAATGCACCAAAACACCATCATGGATGCTGCTTTTAAACAGTCTTCAAGAGTTATTATTCATGATGTACATTCCGGATTTCTGCAATTTAAGTTTGCTGAGAACACAGGACAGATTTCCACTTAATTCATCTTCACTGAGCTTTGGCTTGTACAAGTCTGCTTTGTTTCTTGATCTTTTTTTTTTTTTGGCCTTTTTTTTTTTTTTTGGCCTTTTTAATATTTTTCCAGACATGGTAAAGTGTTGATGTGCTTTTTTGGATGCTGCAAAAACTTGTATGTTCTTATTGGTGTTCCTGAGCCTGTGGAGTGATTTCCAAGTCTGGCTGTCCTTAGTTCACCACCCAAAAGCCAACGCCATTCAGTAGTGGTTTTTGCCTTGCCCCTTGCATGCAGGCAAGAGTGCTTAGCTTTCCTCACCTTTACTTCTGGAAATCTCTGCTTTTCTTGGATGGTATTTTTTTTTTAATAATAGCCTAATATCCTACTGACTAGTTTAAAGATGTTCCACCAGTTATTTTCCTAAGTATTACACAACCTTTCCATTTAAAATTTTCAGATTAAGGGAGGGTTTAATTGACCTACAAATAATTTTTTATTGACAGTTACACGGTCTCATCACTCATTTTTGGAAACAATAGTCTTGCTGTTGTGACCAAAAGCAGGCAACCAATCTTACAGCATAGTTTGGAGAAGTGCATCAGAGAGACAATGAGAAACTATAACCCAGATCTTTCATGGAGGAAAGTAATAATTTAAAAATATGCTGATTTTTCTCTTTTAATTAACACTAATTTAACCAATAAGCTGTTTATGAAACCCATCAAATCCAGACCGGTGCGTTCCTTCTTCAGACATTATGTTGACTAATCAGCATTAAGCAGTTCCAGCCTGAGTCCCCCCATCAATCTCCCTCCTCTGTACATCTGTGTGCATACATGTGAGCGTATGTGCACACCATACTGCATATGTGTGTTGACCCCCAGCAGCTGTGCTTTCCCCTCATCAGTATTCTGAGTGAAAAGGGGTGGTGGTGGGGAGCTGGGCTTTACTAAGCATAAAATGTAAAAAGAACAGGCATCAAGCTTCTGGAAGTGTGCTCTCCCTTAATTGAAGTTCTCTTTTATCTAGAATCTGCACAATGTGTGCGTATGTCCTCCAATACAAGTCCCCCGTCCGGCCCCTCATTCCTCTTAATTGGGTCTTTCAGTCCCCTAATTAACTCTGTCAGTGCAGGTTGGCCTGAGCCAAGTTGGGATAAGTACTCCACTATTGATCAGTATCTGAAGCGGTTAACTTATCCATCTGTCTACATTTCATCTACAAAAGGTCATGGTGTAATAACATCAGTGCATCCTTTGTGCTGTTAAAAGATATTTCTGTCTTTTTTGACTCCATATGTCTTTGCCAGATTATAAACTGTGTTTATAATCAAAATTTATGTTCAGTTCAAGGCTTTCAAAATAGCTTCACGGCTAATATTATCTATCTATCTATCTATCTATCTATCTATCTATCTATCTATCTATCTATCTATCTATCTATCTATCTATCTATCTATCTATCTATCTATCTATCTATCTATCTATCTATCTATCTATCTATCTATCTATCTAAACATTCATTTGGATCAACTACACCAAATAAAATGCATTAACTGGTGTAACAGTCTACAGCTACATCAAAGGATGATGTAATACTTTTGTGTGTTTATTTGTTAAATATTTAACAGCTTCAAAATACAAATTAATATCAGTTAGAAGTCATTTAAGTGATGGCACTGAACTGAGAGGAAAAAGTGAAGAGAAATCATTTTATCTTTCTTTCAAAATAGATGATTATAATTTTTTCTTATCAGCAGTAATTATGAGTGTTGTTTTGCAAAATATATTATACAGTTTTGCATCCCTGGAGCAAATGACTTTCTATATCTTAACTTTTTATATTTCAGTCTACAAAAAGACAGCTGAGGTCAAATTAGTTGGGGTTGCGAGACTAACGGGGCTCTAATTAAACATTTAAAGGCTGTTGCTCTGAGCACCGTGCCTCGGTTAATTGTTGCTGTAACAGTAATGAAATTAGTGTTCTTGGGGTTATCCAGAGTGCATGAAAACAATGTTTTTAACCTGATAGAATAAATAAATGCATGTCAAATACCTTCCTGCCAGTACCTTTTGCTTTCAGCCTCCTAAAATTGTGTCTTTTGGACATATTTGATGCAATATTTTAAGATAGCTATCTTTAAAGTTGCTTGGAATAAACCATGCCTTGGGCAATGCACATAAATCACCAAATGTATGTAAAATGAGAATTAATCTTATATTCTCAGTTGTATTCTCAGAGGCATTCAGCAGAGCAGCTACTTTTGTTTAGGCGATATTTTAAATGCATAACTTTCACTCACTGTTGAGTATTATAAGTGCAGAAAATGGAAACATAAAGGATTTGAATACTTGTTCCACCCTTGCTAATATAGACCAGCGTGTGTAATTTTCGGAGTTAATTGTGCACAACATTGTGACTGAAACCAGTGCTGCCACTGCTGGTTAGCGTATGCTAAAGAGCACTGTGGTGACAGCAGCGGCTGACCATAATGGTGCACAGAGGACATGTCCATATTGTATGATTTAAGAGGTATATCCATTACACACCGCAGTCATCACACCCACACTTGCGCGCACTCTGCAGACCGCTGATGCCGTACTGTGGGTTAACACCATCTGGTGCCAATCAGGAAACACCAGCTTTGCACAAGTCACTGTCTCTAATTATCTACCTAGAGCAAAGGGAGGCCGATCCCCACTAATCTCTACAATGTGTTCTGCTTCCCATTCCCACCTGTGTCCCAATAAAGGGGGGTCTTGTGGGAGGACCGGGGGTCTCTGTGTCAAGGGACTGGGGACCAGGTGACGCTGCAGCGCCAGTCCCCACGACAGAAGCTTCATCGCTTGGTTTGGCTGGCAGCTGCTTCCCCCCACTGAGACATCCCACAGCTGACAATCCCCCAGTACTGACAGGGGCTCTTTACAGTGTCAATAGCCTCATATATTAGAGCTAACCGCCTTTGTGGTGAGCGAGGGTGTCAGGCCTTTTGGCCCGACAGCGCTTGTTACCATGATGAAATGTAGATTGAATGGAGGGGGTCTGTGTCCCAGGCACGAGAGCTCGGACTCCCCCAGCCTTTGTGTCCCACGCATGGCTATTGTTCGAACCTATTCAGCACTTTCAAGAGCAGAAGGAGGGGTAAAAGTGAGAGGTGGGTGAGAATGATTTACATCTCTTCATCTCTCCCCTGGTCTCCAACTCATCTGTCAGCCGTGGGAGGATAAGCATGTATTTTACACGCCTGATTTGCTGCTAAGTGAAGGCTAGTCCTTGTTGAGCTGTTTGACTAAATCATGTTCATGGCAGTGTGCGTGTGTAAAGTGAACGTATGCTTGTTCAGTTTTTTATTTTTAGAAGAAAGCTGGAACTTGATTTGATGTCGTAATGTGCTGATAGAAATATTCATCCTGTATGAATTAAAATGACCTGTTTTTTTTTAATATAGACTCCATTATGTCCTTTGCTTAAAATCTGCCCTTTGTGTTCCTATATCCATGTTCTTATGAGACAGTGACAAATGGCTGGCCTAGAGCTGAGGACATGGCTATGTCCCTTGCCTGCGTCAGACAAAAGTGACGCGCCTTCCCGGCGCCTGTGTCGTCCTTTCATCTCCTACACCCTGTTGAGGTGAAGATGGATGGTCCCCAGGCTCAAGAACACCACATTCAGCTTCTGTTCTGGTGTATTGTCTCGCCCTTCTGTCCCTTTTTAGCTCTTCAGAGGTTAGGCTGTCTGAAACTGGTTAGCAACAAATGACAACCTTTTTTCCTGAATGTCAGCTTTAGCACTTCTAAGTTTGTCCTTTAAAGCACCAATAAATGCCCTTGTAGTATTGCTGTGATATTACTGTGTATTTGTACATGTCCATAACGTTTCTCAAATAGTGACGCTGAGAAAGAAGAGACATTTTTCACAAACTAAAAATCAACTGCACATTTAAAAGAAGACGCCCAGAAGTAGTTATTATCAAAACAACATTTTAATTTAGGAAAATAGCATTTGTGCCAGTCAGACACAACAGTTCCATTTTGACAGTGTTTCATCACCACTTATTTCACATAAGCTACTCTGATGAAAAAAAATCCCCAGAACATTTAGAATACTTCTGTAAAAAAAAAAAAAAGAAGAAAAGAAAAAGAGGCAATTAATAAAAAAATAGCAGCAGTTTGTATCCCAAAAGATAGCTATATGTGTATATACAGTATGTACAAGGTTTTGCCCCAGCCATCATTTTATAATTTTTTTTTTCATCAGTCTCCTGTTTGTGGTCCGGACAGTCTATTTTAAGAGAGACCTGCTCACTTGCTCATAGACAGGCTGTGTAATGTGGAGGTAGTGGTGGGCAGAGGCTGGCAGAGTGAGCAAGGGCACGGCATGCCGGGGAAGTGTCTGTAGGAGCTGCTCAGGTGGAGAGGGTCCTTCAGGAGGCTCTGGACTGGAGCGTGAAAGCCCAGGAAGCCGGCTGATGGAGGGGAGTGTGGAGCTGGGGCTGAGGAGGCAGAAGATGAGTGATGCTGAAGAGCTGAAGGTGTGCTGCCCACCAGAGAGTGAAGGGACTGGGCCAGAGGATGCAGAGGGAGGTGGGCGGTCGTGGCCGCAGGGGTAATGGTGGGATGGGGAGCTGTGCGGCTCTGGACGGCGGCATTGCCACCATAAACGTCCCCAACCAGTTTCTTCATCTCCTCCAAAGAGCTGGAAAGCATGAGGATGTAATTGCGAGCCAAGAGCAAGGTGGAAATCTTTGACAGCTTGCGGACCGAGGGTCCATGTGCGTATGGCATGACCTCTCTGAGGCCATCCATCGCCTGGTTCAGATCATGCATCCTCTTCCTTTCTCGACTGTTAACTTTCAGCCTCTGATCTTGCATCTCTTCCTTGCTGAGCTCAGATCTGGATTTGCTCTTACCGCCCACGCTACAGCAGTCCGTCCTGCCTTGGCCGGCCTCACTGTCTGCTCTGTTCTCGTGGCAGTACTTCTGGAACATCTTATTGGAGAAGAAGCTCCCTGCAGAGTCATCCACCACCAGGTCTGGAGACGAGGAGCGACTGCAGGTGGAGCCAGCATCGGAATCCATTTCAGCTGAGGGAGAAAATTCAGGAACAAAAACAAGGATCCAAAAAAAACCCCAAAACTCTTAAATCGTGACAGCTTGAGCTTAGGACCTGAACTGTAGGTTTCCAAACTCTCTCAGTTCCCTGCAGTTTTTGTACAGCCTCACTTTTCCCTGAGTTTGTGCTGTTCGGCCTGATGCTCAGCCTCTCCCCAGGAGTGAGTGTGTCTAAACTGTCACCCCATGGGCCTGCTGGGGTGTATTTATACCACCGACACAACAAAGGAACAATACACCGCATAATGAGACACTTATGGCCCCAGCCAATTGCAGAAGGGACACACTTTTACCCCCCTCTCTTAACAACTCCTTCCTGCGCCCCCCAGTCCACCTCCCCACAACCACATTAATTCTCCCACTTGCTGATGAACCCCCCTGCACGTTAACCAAACAGAGGTATGATCCCATGTTGTGTAAGGCTGAGTTAACCAGAGCTCTGTTAAAACTTTAATTAAAAACTGGCAGTATTTGCATATTTTTTTATGTTTCAGCACAGATTTTAAAGTAATCCTGGAACAAGGGAGAGGTGATTTAATAATAATAGAAAAAATCCAAGAAAAAAAGATGAATAAACATAAATTTATGACTTTATTATCTCAAATTTTAAAATTCTTCTCGTATTAATTTACCTCTATAATCTGCAAAAGTTTCTTCCTCAGCTGTAAAAACATGTTTACTTTACTTGAAAGTTCTCTACGCGGATGTTAAAGTGAAAGTGAGCAGGCCACCGTTTTTATTGCCCCCTTCCATAACACCAGATAGATGATGCCTTTAAGGCCTTATTTACATATGGTATCCATGAGATACTTTGGAGGAAGGTATGAGGCACCATATGAGGCTCTTAAACATGTAAAGGGCAGCGTTAATGGCAGACTAGATACAATTCAACCAGAAGCTCAAAACAAAAGGGGTCAGATAAATTTGACTTGGTTTCCCAAACAGTCTGTGAAATCACATCACTATCACTGGAAGGGGGTCTTTCAGTCCAGGGGGAGGTAGTTAAAAAGATACTAAATGAGTGGGCGCAGCATTGTCTCCCTATAATTCAACCATAAAGCTACTGGCACCTATTGTTCTTTGTTTTTTTACTTTATCTTGCTAGCTATCAGGAACACAAGGAAAACGTTCTTCCTCGTTTAAATTTATGGCATTAAAATTCCTTCCAGGCTTCGCATCCAACATATATCTGCTGCTTTAATGTTGTGGCGCTGTGACCAAGCAGAGTTCTCCACGTGGTGTTCAGAGGCTGGCTTTCACCACGCAGCTCAGGAATTTCCTGCCTTCCTTGTGCCAAGCAAAGCACCAAGTGAAGCAGTGCTGGAGGGCCGGGACTTTGAGAACATAACGCTTTTCTAAGGATGGCAAAAACAGCAGTTTTGTGAATTGATTCGTTGCATTGATTCTTGCCTGGAGCACAACAACTGAAAAGCCATCATAGAAAAGTATATTGTGTTCATTTCACAGGCATCAGGTCTGGATTTTTGTGTTCATCTGGTTGCTCGGCTAAGAAAATATTTGCCTTTCTCTGCGTTGTAAACAGCAGGATGAATCTTTTGATGAATCTAAATCTTTTACTCGCTGTAGTATGAACCTAGTGCAATATTTATGACATATATCTCATGCTCTTTGCTTTTAAATTTGTTTTTGTTCTTGCTTAATGCTCTCATGTTGAGTCTTTTGATATCCTGCTAATGCCACTGCTGATGCATATGCGAGCAAAGTTAGACTGATCTCACCAGTCCTCTGATTATCTGATGAGATGACAGACCAAAGTATGGTTTAATAAATATTTCAGCAGTCAGCAAGAGAGTGTGCGAGAGTCCCAGTGAATTGTTCCAACCATTAAATAGTCTTTTGAAAGCAGTGCAAAATCACATCTCTTCTTTTACAAGAATATTTTTAAGTCAAACTAATTACAGAGTCAACCACATTGTCCTCATCAAAAACTTCTAACTGTTCTCAGATAACTAATGTGAGGGCAGTTAAAATCCAGTTGAGGTTCTCAGAAGAGTTTTGAATAATATAAATATATTTGAATTCCAAGTCAAGTTGCTTTATTGTCATGTGCAGTGGTACAGTACACAGTGAAACGAGACAATGTGCAAGACCATGGTGATACATATAGCATATAACAGACCAGCAAACACAGGACTACATAAAGTGCAAAATGCAAAAATTGCAAAAACCCCCCAAAACTAAGACACCAGACAGAAAAGTGCAACAATGACAGCGGATTGTGCAACAGACTGAGCATTGTGCAAAAAACAACTTGGTGTATGAAGGAGTGTGTGTGTGTTTGTGTGCGTGTGTGTATGTAAGATTGTTTTTGCATTAGTGGGGTTTTTGTATGAATAGAAAAAAGGCCCATGTAAAGGGCTGCAGCACAGCACTGCACCATCAGTATTTGATTTATTAAAGCTACATTTCCAATGTTTAATACGACTAAATACGCACGTTTTTGTGATCATGCAGCAATGCCAAGACGACCTTGTACTTTCATTTAACCTGGTTTTTCTCGTATGTTCCTCGGTGAGGGATTAGTGAGGAGGTCGTGTTCATGTTCAAACAGATTTTCTTTGCTTTGTTTTGTGGTTGAATTGCTGCAGCATTTCAACCACAAAAAACAGTTTTCTTGATTTTTGTCTATTATTAATAATCTTAAAATTGGCCTCCCTCGGGCAGTGAACTTAACTGTGTTTGCTGCTTTTTGTGTTGGTGAGGTTTTATGGAAGCTGACTGCAAAGTGGTTTATTAAATTTTCTTTATTCTACTTATTATAGTGGATTTTTTCCCCAGAGTTGTGCATGACTCATATGCATCATTTAAAGTACCCCCCATTTGAGAATAGACCACACAAAAATGTTTGAAAGGTTTAAGCCCATCAGGCTTGAGGTAATCAGGTTAGAAATTCAGACTGTTTCTCTCTGACGATGCGGTTCTTCTGATCATCTTCCTTTATCTGATAAAGTCAGGTCCCTTATAGTAAACGGACAACGTGGAATCAGTCATTTCCAGGTAAGTGTGCTTATTAGCTTCTAATAATCTGTGCCTAAATTCTCCTTCTTCCTACAGGGGCACACTGAGGAAACACAACTTCACTTGAGCTTGAATCTAAAGAACCACTAATTTTAAAATATGTGCAGATTTTGGTAAATCTATTGCTGGTCTCCGTGTCAGTGGGCTTGTGATCCCTTACACTCACAAACCCACACAAAGTTAGAACCGAGAATCAAGAGGGCTCTCGATACCCCCCCACCACAGCTCCGTCGGGGGGCCCTGCAGGGTGCTTTGGCTCGGCCACCATTCAGTGATATTATAATTGGGGAACTTTGAGAGCCAGCATGGGCCAGATATTTGGAGCATATGGATTTTCCCATCGTTAGGCTTGGAGCCAACATGGCTGCTGGACTCTCCTTTGCTAATTGGGTCAGTTCCTAATTAACTGAGTTGAACACAATGCTCCAGATTTCATTCTTTTTTTCCAGTCTTTCAGGCCCTTCAATGGCTGGTTCTGTGCCACAGTTTTCATTGTGTTTTACACACAAGGAAAGGAGAAAGGGATTTATAGTGGGTCATCAATAGTCTTAATAAATTATCTATAAATACAGGAAAATGTGCCAAGCTACTTATTAACCATACATGAAGTTAGATTAGCGAGAATGTCACTTATATGAAACGAATGAGGAACAGCACATCAGTGGAATAGAGCTGAAACCAGGAGCTGTGTATTAGTAAAAGTACAGAATGTATATCGGGATCACCGACAGGAACTTTATCCAAGTAACAAGTGTAATCAGTCCTCCTTTTACTCCATTATTTTATGCATGAGCCCGATAAATCCCATTCTTGGCCTCAATCTTATTCTTATTCATGTGTTTACAGAGGCAACGGGCCACACAGAGAGACTTAAAGATCTCTGCATTTTACAAATGAAAGCGTAGCCACCCTTCATGTGTCCACATAATCCTTCAATTTTTAACCCTGCACTAGAGTGTTTGACTTTCTTCTCTGGGTGCCACCTTTCAGGGCCCTTCATCCAATTCTGAGCTCTGCAACAGACTTTTTTTAGCCTTTAGAGACCCCCTCACTGCTGCCCTTTCTGGTGCACTCCAGTGAAAGTGCTCAGGTGACCAGAAAATGAGGGCATTATCACAGGCATATGCTTGTAGTGACAGAGGATCAGGCAAGATTAGGGCCTATCATGGCTCAATAAAGCGCTAAGCTGGAGAGCAAACCTGCGCTGTGTACCATAAGGCTTCCTTCACTCTCTGCTGGTCATTGTTCAACAGGATCAGTGGCTTGATCTTCTGTACACACACACACACACACACACACACACACACACACACACACACACACACACACACACACACACACACACACACACACTGGGGTTTAATCTGCTGCTTGAGAGCCTGTAGAGGACATACAGCTGCCTTTAGTTTCCACCGTTTGTCTCAGTGTTGCTTCCACATCAGGACTGTGAGATCACAGCGGGGCGAGTGTTCAGCAGAAGCTGATATGAGGAATCGGGTTGTTTTGATTCATCTGTGGATCTAAACATTTCCCTCTCAGTACCGGTGTCTGTGCAGAGAGATATAAAGTTGTTTCATGAAGTAACTGAACAGGCAGACAAGTGTTTCTGAGAACGGGGAGTGCTGCCCTTTGTTATCTCTCACCGCTGGGACAAACTGCTCGGTGATTTATTCATTTACACTGCCTGAAACAATTGCATTATCTCGGCCGCAACACAAAGACACAAAGGCACTATGAAAATCCCCTAGGATGTTTATGAGTCACTAAAGAGTCCAATAACTTTCCCCTTCATCTTTAAGCGGCCATGAAGGATTGCATGCTGAGGAGGGCTGCAGGGCGAGAGGAGTGAGGATGGGGATTCGGGCTGAGGGAGAGGTGCTGATTATGAGCAGGATGAAAGGAGTGCAGGCCCTCTCCTCTGGAGCTGAATGGAGCTCGGTCAGCAGGCTGTCCCATACACCGACCTGCTCCATGCTGCTAGAACTTCATAAATTACCCCACTATTACCCTGGGGGGACACCGAGGGAGGACAGACAGGCGAGAGGGGGAGAGAGTGAAAGGGGACAGAGCAGAACCGGTTGCTGAGCAGACCATCGTCAGGAGTTGTAGGCAT